AAAGGAAATGAGATTGGTCAAGTAAGACCTACCTGCCACAAACCCATGCTGAGTATCCCTCAGGATTTTGCCTTCAGCTAGTCTGTTAAAAATGGCCTCCTTGATAATCTTTTCCAAGACCTTCCCCAGGATAGAGGTCAGGCTGATGGGCCTATAGTTAGCTGGATCCACTTTCCTCCCTTTCTTGAAAATAGGCACAACATTGGCCCTCTTCCAGTCTTTGGGCACTTCACCAGAGCACCAAGAGCTCTCAAAGAACTGTGCCAGGGGCTGAGCTATGATGCTTGCCAGAGTACTCTTGGGTATAACCCATCAGGGCCAGCTGACTGAAGGTATCCAGCCTATAGAGGTGTTCCTTCATGAGGTCAGCTTCAATGGAGGGCAAGGAATCTCCCTCACCTGGGCCTCCCTGACCCATAGTGGGCAGGGCCATCCCATGGGGCTGATGAAAAACTGATGCAAATTACCTATTTAGCAAGTTTGCTTTTTCCTGGGTGTCAGTTGTCAGTTGCCCCATCTGGTTTAGCAGCGGTCCAATGTTGCCCTTTTCCTCTGGCTCCCCACATATCTAAAAAAGGACTCTTTATTTTCCTTGATATTTGTGGCTAGCTGGAGTTCCATTGCAGCCTTGGCTTTCTTGATTTGCTCTCCGCAAGTCCAGACTAAAGCAGAGTATTCCTCCGTGGTGGCGGTTCCAGTCCTCCATCCTTTGTAGGTCTTCCTTTTAAGATGCAGGAGGTCTGCCAGTTCCCTGGAGAGCCAAGGGGGCTGCTGTGCCCTTTTGCGGCCTTTTGTCTGAGACGGGATGGACTTTGCTTGCGCATCCAGGATTGCTCCCTTGAGGAGCAACCACTTGTCTGAACTCCCCTCTCCGTCTGGTTGGGGCCTTTTAGGACCTCTCTGACGAGCCTCCTTAGCTTGTCAAAGTCAGCTTTTCTGAAGTCGAGGACTTCTGTACAACTGACTGACTTGTCAGCTTTACGGCAGATGGTGAAGGTGATCAGTTCATGATTGCTGTCACCCAGCTTCCCTTCAATTTTTAGGTTGCCAGTTAAGTCATCCCCGGTTGCCAGTACAAGGTCGAGCAGCTCTTTACCTCTTGTCAGCCTATAGACTTCCTGCGTCAGAGGTTGTCCACACGAGAGAAAGCTTTGCGATCGCTCGGATTTGGCTGAGCGCTCTTCCCATGAGATGTCTGGGTAGTTAAAGTCTCCCATGACAACCATACACCGGGATTGTACTGCCTCAACCAGTTCCCTGGTGAACTCCTGGTCAAGGTCTTGATTCTGGGTAGGGGGTCTGTCGTAGACCCCCACCATAGTGTCCTCTGCACCATGTTCCCTACAGATTTTAACCCAGAGGGTCTCAAGTCATCCACTGTGGGTGCCAATGTCAGCTTGCAAGGACGCATAGCTTTACTTGACAGAGAGAGCTACGCCCCCGCCCCTTTTGTCCACTCGATCCCTCCTGTACAGGGTATAGCCATCTATACCTGTGGTCCAGTCCCACCAGGTCTCTGTTATCCCAATGACATCGTAGTCATTTTGCCCAGATAGGTGACCCCCAAATGAACCTATCTAAAATCATAATAATTTACCATATTGCCCTATAGGGATTCATAGCAGGGGAGAGGCCAAATTTACATATGTATGTTTTTTATCGTTTCAGATTTTACTAAATGCTGCCAAGAGACTGGCTTTTTAATGGTGGTAAAGTGTCAACAGGAAAATGCAGCACTGAAGGAATGTCTAACTGCCTAGTAAGTCAACATAGCATAGTCTTTGCTTTTCCAAAACATATATGTTACTCTCATGATCTTAACTAAAAAAAAAAAAAAAAGAAAATAATTCCTATAGGCAGCATTTCATATTCATTATTCAGAATCAAGATAAGTCTCAAAAAAGGTACTTCATTTTCCAAATTATTCTGGAGTTATTGAAGTAACCCTTCATGCAGGTTTGCAAATCATATGACTTAAGTCTTCTACAACTGAACCTAGTTTAGTGTATCTCCTAGAAGAAAGCATTATTTTTCTGGATCAGAGATAGAAAAAAGTACCTGTAGTCAACCTAGAGCATCTCTTTTTTTTTTTTTAATAATTAAGTAGTTTAATTTAGGACAGGGGTGTCAAACTGTCCCAGTCCTCTGGGTCAGATCTGACTGCAGGGCTTCCCGTGGGACAGTAACTCAGCAGCATGAGAGCGGACACAGTTATTGCTTATGCCACTGCCACCAACATGCATTCCCAGCAGGGCTCTATACTCAGGAGTCCCAGGGTTGTCCCCACTTCTTAATTCCTTGCCCTTTCAGGCCACTGGGCTGGTTGAAACAGCTCTGCGGGCCACATCTAGCCCATGGGCTATAGCTTTGAAACTCTTGACTTAAAAGGCCAGGTTTATTACTTAATATATTTTTACATGGTTCATATTTATCATGTATGAAATTACTATAGAGCGAGTTATTTTTGACACATTGATGTTCAAAGAAGAAAGGTAGTCACTTGGTATTACTACAAATAGGAAACAGATGGGACTAATTGAAGGATGCCTTTTCCCCTCTTTTAACTGAAAATTGTCCCATATTTATGAAAACTGGTTCACAACATTAGGACCATTGCTACAGATGGTGGTGGTAGGGGGACAAGTATTTAACCTTGGTGTCAGAGAGCAGCACTGAGCTGTTAAACTTTTACTTGACCATTGACTGTTATCAAAGAGAGTCTGAAAGAATGATATTTTTTCCTATTTTTCTTTTCTGTGGCAGGTGCCATAAACTACCATACTTACCCAAATCCAAGATGACTTCAAATTTCAGTAATTAGGTTCTTTATACAGAAAATTATAACAAGTTTCCAATAGAATCTAAGTATTGGAGGATTGTCTTAAATTTTGTCCCTGACTGCAGCAAAGGGTGGGTGGGTGGGTAGATAACCTGACCCCCACACCTTGCTCCCCTGCCCACTTGCCCTTCATGCCTTTCCCTTTTGGGGATTGTATTTCCAGATGTGCTTTGTTGCATCTTTCAGCCATGTCATGCTTTAGGGCCCTTCTGTCCAGTGCAATGCTGGAAGGCCAGATGCAGATCTGAACTTCAGATACTTAATACACAAATTGCATGTAATGTTTACAGTCACCATAGCACAAAATTAATTATTGATGATAGTATTGCCTTCAGTTTTATACATACCTGTTCTTCAGTTAAGACTGAAGCCATGGTATCATTTGTATTATGTCTTTTTTTCTAGCTACAAAGACCCAGCATTTTATGAAGAATGCAAAATGGAATATCTAAAGCAAAGAGAAGAATTCAGAGCAACTGGAATTCCTGCTAAGCAGAAACAGCAGAAACGTCTTACATCTATGTAACTAAAATATGAAATCAAGTTCTGAAATTTCAGTTGTTATCTGTATACATTTTGAATTGGTAAAATGAGCTAATCAAGCAAACAAGACTTATTTTTTTTAAAAAGGGTCTTCTAAGCAAGATTTGAGTGAAAAATATAGAATGAATGCATCTCAGGTGTATTGGGAATAAATAACTTACTATGAATATATCCAGCATTTTTTTTACGTGCTTAATTTCAAGGATTTGAGAAACATGAACTTGAAGTTTAACCCAAGGGGGGGTGCAGAAAGTCCCTTCTTACTGAACTCCTTGCTGATTTTCTCCATCAGTATTCCTGGTGGTTTGGTTTGTTTCTTAAGATATTCTTTTGCTTCTCCAAAGGAAGATGTTTTTGCTTATATTTCAGAGGACTTCCAGCTGCTGCTGTTTTAAAAGAACAATTCAAGGCTGTTTTTGCTTCAGGTTGCAAGAGGCCATACACAGACTTCCTACATTTGTATTTTTCCCTCCTCAAATGTACCACTGCAGTGCCATTATTACTAACTGTTTAAACAGTAATGCTTTATCTCATTTGATAAAAATGAATTTCAGTTCCTTTCCTATTCCTCACCTGAAGTTTGGCCCATATTATGAGAATCACTTTTTAGCACACTGCACCATCAAGAGCTACAGTTGTAAAGAAAAGACATAGTTAGTCCCAGGCAGCGTTCAATATTTCTTGTCCCCTGCCTGATATGATGCATGCCACACCCAGAGGTTGCT